AACAGAAACAGTATAAATCCCTGTAAAGATATACATTTCAGCAGTAGAATATCATAATTCAGCTGAAATGAAACTGAAACAAAAAGTGAAAACAAAAAATAAAAATCAGGCGCTCAGTTTTTTCTCATCTGTTTAACTAAACTGAATTAAAATCTAGATTTTCTTAGATTTTTTCTTAGATTTTGAAAGTGTATTTTCTTTTGGAGGTGAGATAGCCCCAACTGAACATCATCAGAATAGAAAGAAAATGCTACAATCGCCTTTTTCCACACCATTTTGTAATTAGCTCACCCTCCAAAAGAAGGCAATGGCCTTGTCTATGGGAACTGAGCAGTCCTAGCACCGTGGCCTATCACATTTTTCAGATTGTGGCCTCAGCCACTTTAACTAAGACAAGACAGCTGCTACACTTAGAATTATAAACTCAGTTTGCAAGTAATTCTTACCACTTCAGAAAAAAGTAGTTCCAGAAAACGGTGAAAACAATACTATCTACATTTACACATGTAATAGTAGGGAATACAGAAATTTCCTTCAGAATGAAAGACACTTCAGCGCTTTCCAAGCCAGTCCACAATGAGGACAATGCTATTTTTTAAAATCCTATTCCCTGTTTTCATTGCACATGACATATTACATTGTACTGTACAGTGTGTGGTGACGAGAATTTCCCTGCTGATTTAATTGTGATCCTTCAACGAATTTGAAAGGGAACGCTTTATTTCCATTTCTTTAATTTACTAGTTCTTTAGCTGATGATTTTATTAACCCTTGTATTTGAGAACTGATGCTTAACAAAAAAAAGAAGAAGAAAAAAAAAGGCCCTTGGCAGTATTGTGAAGGCCTGGAACTGAATAATGCACTTTAATAATGAGGGATAGAGCTATGGCTTTTGCTGATGGCTGTGACCGGCTCTGTGACCTGATTATGTCGCAGAGTGTCAGCAGCTGAGACACTACAAAAGGGAGCGCATCCCATCAAATCTATCTCCATTGTAATCACTCGCACTGCTGAGAGGCTTGTTAGGAGCAGGGAATCCATCAGGCCTCATTAGCACCATTTACCATCAAGAAGCTCAAAGAGCAAACCTGTACCCTCTCATCAGAATAATGAGAACCAAAGTACTCCTATTATCTAATTGGATCAACAATGCCTCTCCCTCTATTTAGTTTCCTGAGCTACTTGTGGACTACAACTCTCAAAAATTAGTTATTTTTTGTTAATTGCCAGGGCGGAGCTGTGCTCAAGGTTTTTCATATACAGAAGGTTTTCACATCTAAAGAGCAAGGCACAGGCACAATTAAGCCTGAGTTCCTCCAAGGGCATTCTTAGGTTATGCTGATGCCATCCCAATTAAATTCACTGTTCAATTAAGGTATGTACTGTACAATTACACCACACGTACTTAGGTTTTCATATTAGCCTAGCAGGAAATAGAATGTATTGCCCTCTTGAACCACAAGACAGTTCATAATGCCAACTCTTATCATGCTACTTTTTAGTCTTATGGTAAAATGTTATTTTGCAACTGCTGAATTAGGATGTATTTTTCTATTAGACAACTCCCATCTTTGCAAAAAAACCAAACTAAACTTACTCAGCACCTGTAGTTAAAATGTGTTTGATGCTGTTGAAGTCAAGGGACTTACACAAACGCAATTGATGACAATTAAGCACTATGGTTTAGCCAAGTAGGAAGCTGGCTTGCAGGTAGCACTTATAGAAACCAGAAGAATCATCCTTGCTTCCATATTTCTGTGGTTCATCCCCTTACAAAGATTAAGAAAACAGCCAAAATACACATTTCACATACTTAATAGATATAGTAAAAACCACTCAAAACTCCTAATATTTTCTTTCATTTGCAATAAGGGGGGGGGGGGGAGAAAAATGTCTGGCTGTTACATCTCTGAAGAATCCAAGTGCAGCAATGGCACTAAGATCCTACTGCAAGGGCAGGCTGAAGCTGAGCGGGTAGACAGCTTCTCTTTGAAATCAGCAGTATCTACTGACAGGGTGGAATCTAGCAATTCTGCTACTCTGTTTTTTAAATTTAAGATATGAAAGCCCAGTCCTGCAAATGCTTTCTGGAAAGTGCTGAGGGCAAACAGAATGTAAGCAGCGTTACATGGGCCAACAGCCCTTCCTAATGTGCCTCAGAAAGTGAAAATTTGATTTAGAATCCTCTACCTGTACTATATCAAATTAATCGGGTGATCTAATCATAGTATTCCAATGGATTAAGTTAAAGCATTACAGTAATAAAAATATGCTATATAAATGTTAATATATATAATTTTATTTCTGTGATTGTAAGAACTTCTAGAGTATTGGGAATTAAGGCCATGCCATATGTCATTTAAAAGATCATTTCCCTAAATTTGCCATAGGATCTTGGATTTGACCTATAGCTTAATGTCTCCAGGGACTACTGATCACCATATATTTAGCTAGACAGATGGACATTTACCAGCCCTGAATTTCTGTAACAGAAGCAGTGTATAATTACAAAGATTGCACATACAAACACTCTGATAAGTCATCCAGCCTTATATCTGCGGGAGTGAATTTTGGGTGTCACACTTGTGATTCTTTGAAAGGGGCAATTTTCAAAAGGCAGATTCTTAACATATGATGGAAATCTGGCTCCTTAATGAGTCCAAGCAGATCATTCAGAAGTGGAGTATCCCAAATTACTATTCGCTTATGCTCCCAATTTTGAAGAAACATACCTTTCAGTTCTTGTTTAGTTGCCGTAATTTTATTAATTTGCAAGGAATGCAATTTAATTTCTGGAACGTAGCTTAATTACACTGAATAGTCCTGTTCTGTAGACAGATAGCTTCAGAAGTGCGCTCTAAGCAATATGGGTTTATGCTGAATATTATAAAAATGGGTGTTATATTACACACATTATCAATATTTATCTATATTGTGGCAAGGTCTGCAGTACTGATTATAAACCAAGGAACAATTATAAAAACAAGTAATAAAAAGACAGGCCTTATTTAAAAGAGCTAGGCAAACAGATAGATTCTGTAATTTTGTCCAACAATAGGGAAGATTCTTCCTTTCTCTTCTCTTTCTCTGCAACCTGTGGAATTATTGGACTTTATATTATGTGTGGAATAAACAAGACTCAGCCTGAGGGAATCTATAGTTTCATTCAGTGATATCTTCACAGTAGTATTTTATTTAAACATACAACAAATGGTCACACTTCGCTAATGTTTTCTCTGTAGGACATGTAAAAGGAAAACTATCGAAAAACTAGTCTGGGTTTATATCTTCAGCTCTTACAATGAACGTCTCTAGTGCCAAGTGCCTCATGTGAGTGGCGACTGTGAACCATTTCTGGAGCACAGATAGAAACAAGCAGGCTTCTAGGTTGGAGCTGATCTGACTATGAGTTATAGGTATTATAACCAACTTTTCTTCCAAACCAATACCCCATCCCTCCAGAAATCTTAATAGGCTTTTGAGAGCCTCCATTTAAAGCTGGCTGCATAAAATGATCCTTTGATGAAAAGGGATTGAAACAAGGGTTAAAGTAGACATTGAAAGGTTATTGTAGAGGGCACATTGTTCATACAATCCTCCTTTAATATGTGTGGTGTGCACCTGCGATAAGATGATTCATTAGATAAGGCCTCACTTTGACAAGCTCCATCGTTCAACCCTCGGGGTAGTGATGGAACAATTCTGCACCCACCCAGTAAATATAACAAGGTCAGCATTTTTTTTTCCTGGGACTTGGATGGCGATAGTGAAGCTCAGGATGCATCTTTGTTTGTGTTGTGTTAAAAAAAGGGGGGGTCCTATAAAGTGTTGTCTTTTATTTTTTAATGGGCCAAAATAAAAAATGTCACCCCTGTTCTGATTAAATAACATGACGATAGTAAATTACTGGGGAAAAAACCTGCTCTTCATGGGGTTTTTTCCATGTAGTAAAGAGTAAGAGTAGAAACGAAACTTTAGATTCACATATCCAAGCTACATTATTTCAATAAATGTTTACCAGGGCCTAACATCTGCAAAAGCACTGTGGGTATCACCGTACGCCCAATTTGTAGCATTTAGAATAATGACATTCAAATTACTCTGTTACCGGGTCCAGTCATAAGTTATATTGACAGATTTGTTGCAGTGACTTTATGTGAAACAAGTAGTTCTGTTAATTTTAGTCCTAGTAAATGCAATAAAGAATGACAGTGGCCACAATCTGAAAGCTACTTAAGCATGCTGCATCAATGGAATTATTTATGTATATATAGATTCAGATGCTTATCCTTCTGCATCATATTAAGACTAAAACTGAAATAGTTTACAACAAATAAACAGCTCCCAAATGCAGGTAATGCACAATCTCTCTCTTAAGACACATCATAAACATTGCTCAAGTTTCTGCTTGGAAAATTTTCTTTAAAGCCAAAGTTTCTCCCAGATTTGCATTACAGACTGACAGCTTCATTGCAAATTGCTTAACTTAGTTAATCAGCAAATGAGTAAGCCACCGAGTTAAATCTATCCCAGATACTTCATCACAATTTGTGTTCCTTCACTTAAAACATTTAATACCTTTTACAAATGAAGTGATATAGAAATGCTACAGTTTGCAAAAAAAAGTGTAGTCTTAAAAGTACAGTAGCACTTATATATTATTAGGCATATGTAAGTGGAAGAAGACAGCTGGTATGTTTTTAAGAATCACAGGGTTGCTAGACTTTTAAAATACCATATTATTACACCATTGTGATCTTTTCAAAAGGTTGAATTAAAATAAAACAAACCCTAAGCCTTTTCTGGCTTGAAAACACTTTCTAACAGCTCCTAACTTCCTCCAGTTCTCAGACTTTCCATTTCTTACCTTGTCTGGCAAATCAATATTTATTTATCTTCAATATGTGCACTTTTAAATTGCTGTCATACAAGCGGAACTCATTTTTGTCCCAAGATCAGCCTGCCATCAGAATTCACTGTTTGCTCCATCTTCTACTCACCTGTCCTTGTGCATTAGTGACGAGTTGACCTGTAACCCCCTGAAGACTGGAGAGGGCATTGCCAAAGGCCTGGGAGCTTGCTATTGAGCCCATGGCTGCCGCTGCTGCTTGACTTGCTAGTGGATTATTAACCAGCTGAAAAAAAGAAAGCAAAGATCTTGGTAAAACCCCCCATAAACACAGAAACACAGAGTGCTAACTGGGTAGCATAAAAATGATTGTGTTAACATGGGTAAACAACTGTCTACTCCAAGAGCCTGAGTAGTTTTGAGAGGTTCTTATTTCTGAGGCTTTGGTGTTTTTGACAATGAATGGTTTTTAAAAAGCCAGAGGAAATTCCATGTTATTACTGAAGAATAAAACTTTTTTTTTTTTTTTTTTGGAGTTATGCTTGATGTGTTTCTTTAGGCTCAACATGCTAATGCCACAGGTGTAGCAGCCTAATCCTGCTGTAAACAGCAATCAGTGAAATATTAGCATTTGATTTGAATGGGAGTGGGATATTTACTTGGGGATATTCAGAACAGATACTATTTTACTAATGATCCCAGCAGTGAGAAAAAGCTGCAGATCCTTTTAATTTATATCATTAAAGAATTGGTTTCAACATCTAGATATATCACAGCAGAGGACTGAACCCTGTGATTAAGTTTAGTAGAAACTGACTAAAAATTCAAAATTCATTTGCAAAATATGATACTAAGCAACTTACTGCCTCTCAACTGCAAACGATTAACTGCAGTACTCATGAATTTTCAGGAAGTGAGTTGTACTGCCCACTTCTGTCACTTCTACCTGGGTGCTCCATATAAAGCATAGAGCACAGTTGTGGCTTTCAGCTTAGGAAACTATGGGAATCCCACAGAGGAAGACACCTATCAGCTCCTGGGTTTATCAAAGATGCAAAATGTGCATTCCTTTGTCAGAATCAAATGTCTTCTTGGAGATGGCTTGTTCACTGGATTACTGTGAAGTTTATATTTTCTCATCCTTTTCTGAGAATGAACAAACTTTGAACCATGCACACAGGGATAATAGTAAAAAAAAAAAAGTAATAAAAAATGCTCAGAACCACCATCACTGGGACAGCTGTCCTGAGAACAATCAAACAAACAGAGTTCAACAGGCTGAAAATGTATTTTAGAGTGGGTTTGCCCTCTAAGAATCATTGCATTTTAGCAGAGCTTGCAAAACGCACAGTAGCCAGAAGTTTGAGGGGGGGAAAAGTCTGGGGACATCAAAGACATTTTTTCTTAGGCTGAGGTGAAAATGCTGAAGCTAACTCATAAAAGCTTAATGTTTGAGCTGAAATTAGTCGGAGTTCTAAGTCCTTAGATGACAAGTAAATTATCAATCCTATAGAAATGAAGAGTCACAGACACCAGTAAGGGATGTACTCCACAGACAGGCTCTGCTTCAAAATAGGTTATAAAAAATTAATCAGTGATTAGTAGATGTTTTAAGCATGTTACAGATATGAGTAGTGTGTATGTTATAGATGTTTAGAAGCCCATCAGTAGAAGATGTCAGATATGGTTATAATCTATGCTTATAAGAAACCTACTTGTCTGTTGGACATTGCGAAATCTACAACAATTGATTGGTCATACATTAAAACATCTATTAATCATTCATTAGCCCTTCATGAAGTATTTATAAATGGAACCTTGATATAAAGTGTTGCCTAAAGGGGCGCCTTGGGCACATCCAATCCCTCTAGAAATTGTAAAGTAAATAACTAAATAAAGATTAGTAGCAATGCTGGACAGAAAAAAATGACATTGTTGGAGGAAGTATTTGGATTTGCAAAAAAATTGTTATATGAATCTCCAAAACCAGTCCGTGGCATCCCATAGCAAGAAAACCAAGCAGGAATACAACACAAAGGGGGAAATTGCAATGACTGCTTGATTAGCAGTCTTGATGAGCTGTGAAGAGAGCAGAGCCGGGCACAATGACAAAGGCAAAGCTGGGTCCCTGAATGCAGAGGGCAAGCAATTCCACTGACTGCACAAGGTGTGAGCCCAAACGTAGTTGCCAGCACTCCTCAGTGACTTCGGGGGCAGTGCTGGAGCACCGCAGTATAATGCCAGATAACAGGATAGATAAACTTGTCAATTTGCTGCTCAAAGCAGCGACATTTCTTTATTGTCCAAATCAGAAGCTGGTAAACCCTGCCTTTCTCCACAGCACTTCATGGGCAGTACTGGGACTTGGAGTAATCCCCTTGTAGCTGTAAATACCTGGAGAAGGAAGGGGCAGCAGCAAGAGTGTAAGACTGTCAGAAAAGGCCTTCTATTGTCTTATTAGGCACCCACAAATTACTGCACCTATGATCCTACAGCATCTGACTGTAGGTATAGATTATAATCTTTGTATGGTTACCTGACATCAGCTAATAAACTACACCAGCTGCTACAGTTTATGGCTTCAGTTGCATATAGGAACAGTTACTTGGGGAGCATGAGTAAGCTTGTGAGTCTGGCAACTACAAAGGGTTAAAACCTTCTAAAAATCAGACTATCATCTCCTAGAATCTCCTTTCCATTTTTCTTGCTCCAGTTTTCAAAAACTGTACATTTTCAAATACAACAATAAAATTTAATTACAACAAACCCTGGAGACACTCAGGATTGCTTTTAGTTGCATCACAGAGATAAGCTACTTATTAAAAATGATGGCAGAGACTATGATATGCATAGGTACCCTGGGTAGTACCATGTTCCAGGAAAAATCACAGTGAATGGGCCAACTCACAGGGCAGGAGACTTCCAAGTGCATATAAAAACATCCCTATCTATTCATAAGTCTGATTAAAAAAGAGAAGATGCGTTTTTCTTTGAGCGCTTTGGGAAGCTGTTGACTGCAAATTATACTCTGTTAAATTGACCCCTTTTATATCGTGTGCAACTTGGGAATGGAGAAATACACCTCCTTTCATTACATCTGGACACTAAGGTAACTTCTGACATACTATATCTTGCTTTTATTTAAAAAATAAAATCTCTGACTTGAAAGGTTTATGCCATTTCTCCGTCCAGGCTGGATCCTTGAGAACACTTACTGGAAGTATTAGAAATACATTATGAAAGATCCCACAAAGGGCTCTTCCCATTTTGTTTCTGTATTTAAATAATGATTTAATTTGGAAGGCTGATACCTTCAGAGTTGTCAATTCCAGTCCCCAAATTTTTGCTCCCACTCAAACCACCAGCCATTACAGCAGGTAGTAGTGATCTTAGTTTAAAGTGACAGACCAGCCCTCTCAAGGATGCCTCCACTAATGACACGATTATTTGGAGAAGCAAACTTTATGAGGAAGAATCTTGTAATAACCGAGTAGCTTCAGTACATTCTTCTGACTTCCCAAAGCTGAACTTAAAAAGGAAAAGCGTATGAAAGTTGTTCTGCTCTAACTCAGTATAAAGCAGGAGCCATTCCACTGCAGCAAACAGAACTCACGCAAATAAAACTAACCTGTAAAATTACGGGGGATAGAAGAGGCACTACTTTCAAGATCCTAAAACTGTGACATGTGAAGTGAGAGTTTCTAGGCTTAAGAAATAGTCTTCAAAAAGCACAACTTCAAGCAAAGTGTGGTAGAGTCAACGCTGCAGGCAGCTTTCTTGAGAGCCACAAATACTTTTTTCTTCTGGAAGAATATTCTCTTCCTCTCTTTTTTTCCAAAGCTAACTTAGTATCTCCCTGAACTTACTGTAGGAAACTGATCCGGCATTCAAGTATCGTGAATACAAGATCAGATTTGATAGCCTACGCAGTAATTTTACTTTTCTCTATAAAGGGCGTATCTTACCGAACCTTCATTCCCTAGTCTGGAAATCAAAGAGCCAGTTTTATTCATTACAATATCACTCATTCAAAAAATATAAAGAAAAACCCAAACTGTTTGACCGATGAAATGAAAACCCAAGACACTTCAGGATGCTAAGAGCATCATATGAAAAAATGGGCATGTAATGAAAGGTAAGGTCACTTTATGTAGTGCCAGTATAAGAAAAAAGTTAGATCTTATGTATTTTCTAAAGGACTTGTGGGTGAGACTAAGAGTGAAGATACCTAGCTGAATGCAGCAATGGAGAACGGAGGGAAGTATCGTGGAACAACAGCAGGCAAAACTTCATTTTATAAAAAAGTATCGGTGTTTTTCAGAAAGGCTGTTAAAAAAAAAAAAAAATTTCTGGATATCTCCTAGAGATTAAATTAGTGAGGAAAAGCAGTATATTTGATTAGGGACCAAAAGATCCTCAGTCTCTTATGTTCTCAGACAATCCTTTCTGTAGGGAACATCACACTGCTAGATCAGCTACTGATTAGCTACTGAGAGTGTCTGCCTAAACCAATGCTTTTCAAGGGAAAACAGAAAAATCCTTTGATTTAAATAAGTCTGAAAGTTGAGAAGAATTCAGCATGGCTGTCAATCAGAAACACATGACATTTTTCTTTCCTATCAAGACTATGTGAAAAATGAACACAGAAATGAAATTTTTATTAGCATGGCATTTGCTTTTGTAGGAATTTTTAACTGACTATCTATATGAATTTGATCTGTGTTGAGATTATGAGAGAATTCATGTTAAAATCTAGTGGGCTTTATTCCTATTTATTCACATTGGCTTGTAAGACAGATTCGGTGTAGTAGTCACTTGGACTTAAGGGAAAGACTGTTTCAAACTGAGCATAGGCTTCTGAGGATATTCTGGTACCTTCTTTGTTACTGTGACCAGCATTATCATCTGTATCGGGTGTAGATGGCAAGGTTTTGGTAGCTGGGGAGCTGCAGGAAAAAAGGGTGAACACAACAGAGGGAACACCAAGGTCAGAGAAAGGAGGAGGAGAAGGAGGTGTTCCACAGCAGAGCTACTGTGTCGCCACTGAGGACCCCACACTGGAGCAGATGGATGTTTCCTGATGAGAACTGTGATCCGTGGAGAGCCCACGCAAGAGCAGGTTAAAAAGCGTGAAGAGGAAGGAGCGGCAGAGAGGAATTGTTCTGGACTGACCATAGCCCTCCATGCCCCCTGCACCACTGCGGGTGGGTAGAGGGGTCAGGAGTGAAGGAGTGAAGTGGAGTCGGGGGGGGCGGGGGGCGAAGATGTTGGTTTAATGTTTGCCTT